TAGTATGGAAGAGAAAATCGAAAAGAAGGTGGAGAAGAAAGATGAAAAGGTTGAAAAGAAGGATGATGAAAAGGTTGAAAAGAAGGATGATGAAAAGATTGAAAAGAGGGATGATGAAAAGGTTGAAAAGAGGGATGATGAAAAGGTTGAAAAGAAGGATGATGAAAAGGTTAAAAAGAGGGATGATGGAAAGGTTGAAAAGAAGGATGATGAAAAGGTTGAAAAGAAGGATGATGAAAAGGTTGAAAAGAGGGATGATGAAAAGACTGAAAAGAAAGTCGATGAAAAGATTGAAAAGAAAGATGAAAAAAGTGAAAAGAAGGATGAAAAGATAACTGATGAAAAACGTCATGATGAATTGTAATATGGAATTTTTTCATATTATATTTCGCGAGTCATAAATGATTTCACAATAAAATTGCGGAATTTTTTGTTAGATTGCGAGTCAAATAATTTCACAAATAAAATTGCATTGTATAATTAAAATTTGAAACAAGCCCAATATTACGTGAAAATCATTTTATAGATTTTACAGTTCGGCACAAGTCATAAATATTTATTTTTTTTCGTACAATAAAGTTAACAGCTTTATTTTTGTTAAACTTCTACATTTTAAATAGAATATATAAATTCTGAAGAGTGCTAATCGAACTGGTTTGTTCAGATCAATTCGGCCAGAACTAGAAGCTATTGCGGCACTTCCGAAGTATTCCAGCATTGATCTTTAAGAAGTTGCCGAAAATATTTAGGCAATTTAATAATGCCAATTCGGAAAATCCGCAATAGTTAATATATCATATATATAACTTGTCCCTTTCTGATTAATTAATTTGCTGTCAATATGTAAAGTTTACGTAAATAAACAACAAATATAACTACATGTTAAATAATTTTATACAAGAAAAAATAGTTTTGCTTCATTGGGGATTTCAGAGTTAACCATTTCGAAAATAAGCGAGAGTTTGAATGATCCCACTTCTATTTAGCATGACGGAAGTTCGATTTTATGCACTGTGGTTACACAAACATTTATATATTGAAATCATATGATAGGGGACACATCATATGAACACAAAAAAAAAAAATCAACCGTTTCATTTGAAACTTTACTAGACTGTTCTTCGGGTTGTAAAGTAAGTAGATTGTAT